ATGATGATGATGATGATGATGATGATGATGATGATGATGATGATGATGATGATGATGATGATGATGATGCTGATGATGATGATGATGATGATGATGTTGACGATGTTGATGATGATGATGGTGATGATGATGGCCATGGTGGTGATGATGATGGTGTCCCGATGATGACGATGATGATGATGTTGCTGATGATGATGATGGCGTCCCGATGGTGATGATGATGATGATTATGATGATGATGTTTATGATCTTGATGATGTTGATGAAGAGATGATGAGATGATGAGATGATGATGCTGATGATGATGATGGTGAAGATGATGATGATGATGATGATGATGATGATGATGATGGTGACCCGATGATGATGGTGATGATGAGGTTGATGATGATGCTGTTGATGATGATGATGATGATGGTGATGATGATGATGATGATGATGATGGTGTCTTGATGATGATGATCATGATGATGATGATGATGAGGTTGATGATGCTGATGATGATATGATGGTGTCCCGATGATGATGTTGATGATGAGGATAATGATGATGTGGTGATGATGATTTTGATGATGGTGGCCCAATGATGATGATGCTGATGTTAATGGTGATGATGGTGTCCCGGTGATGATGGTGATGATGATAATGGTGACGCTGATGATGGTGTCCCGATGATGATGATGTTGATGATGATGATGTTGCTAATGATGATGATGATGGTGATGATGATGATGATGATGATGATGATGATGATGATGGCGTCCCGATGATGATGCTGTTCATGATGGTGATGATGGTGGTGTTCCGATGCTGATGATGATGGTGTCCCGATGATGATGATGATGTTGATGATGATGATGATGGTGACGATGATTGTGTCCAAATGATGATGATGGTGATGATGACGATGATGTTGAAGATGATGGTAATGAGGTGATGATGATGATGATGATGGTGTCCCGATGATGATGATCATGATGATGATAATGATGATGATGATGATGATGATGATGTTGATGATGATGATGATGGTGATGATTATAATGATGATAGATGATGATGACGTTGATGACGATGATGCTGCTGATGATGATGATGATGATGATGATGATGATGATGATGATGATGATGATGATGATGATGACAATGATGATAATAATGATGATGACGTTGATTGAGAGCTCGATTTTTGATATCGATAGTGAGATCAATAGTGAGGCCGAATGTGAGATCGATTGTGAGAGCGACAGTGAGATCGATAGTGATATCGACTGTGAAATCGATAGTCAGATCGATTGTGATGTCGATCGAATGAAATAGATCGAGTGATATCGATTGTGAGATCGATCGAGTGAGATCGATCGAGCGAGACCGATAGTGAGATCGATAGTGAGATCGATAGTGAGATCGATAGTGAGACCGATCGAGTGAGACGTTGGTTCCTCCCCCCCCGAACCGCCTTATCACCGGAAGGGTGGTCGTATAGGTAGTTTCTCCCTCCTCGTCTCCTCCTACTCCTCTCCTCCTTCTCTTCCTCTTTTTAATCCCTCCTCCTCCTCCTCCTCCTCCTCCCCCTTCTTCTCCTCCTCCTCGTCCTCCTGCCCCTCCTCCTCCTCCTCCTCCTCGTCCTCCTCCTCCTCTTCCTCCTTCTCCTCCTCCTCTTCCTCCTCCCTTTCTCCCTCTCGCCCTCTGCGGGTACTGCGGGTACTAAGAGCGTCAGCCATACAGAGCACAGCTGGCACATGGGCACGAACCCAGAAGATTAGTGTTGAGTGATGAAATCCCCCAGGGCGGTGCCGCTGACCTGCTGGGGGGAATGAATTCTACACTGTGTCATTGGAAGCTTGCCTTTGATGAGGGCACGCTTCTCTTTCGAATTGTCATTCGGCACACACCTCGACCTCAACTTGATGGCTTTCTGAGTCCCAAAAGCGCCGCACCTGGAGCAGAACACAACAGGAAAACCAGACTCCACGACATAAGCGACGTGGAGGGAATGCCCGAAATGTCCAGAGGTCTTCAGCACTTCCAGAAGCGAGGGATTCAGGCCGATACAAGGGGTCTTAGTGCGTGGTGACACAGTTCTGAGACAGTGACTGCACCGCCAGTGATCTATGTGCCAGTAAGGGATATGTGGTGACGTAAGGGTCCTACGACGGCCACGGGGTCTCACAAATTCCTTATCCAGCACTCCGAACAGATCACGGGGGGGGGGCCAGAGGGCAAGGACTTTCCCCATCCCCACAAACAGCTCTTTAAACTGTTCAAACGTGGAATCTACAGTATCGGAGAAAGAGGGGTCAAAATCGTGTGACCTGGCCCCTTGTTTGGCGAGCCAATCGGCATACTTATTACCAGATATATCTGCTTTGTCATTCTCGCTGATGGCTGAGTCTTCTGCTCTGTGGGCCTTCACCTTATGGAAGGAAACCCATTCGCCAACCTCGAGAGTCGCGGCTACCTCGCGCCAAAAGTGAGCGGCTTCACACTTGGCCGCAAGAACCTGATCAGGATGTGACTGACCACGGAGCAACGCAGCGAAGTCCACGGCTAGCGGCTCTTTGGGCCCGTTGGTATCTTCGCGCTCCGTGTACAAATGCTCCATCATCATGGCGATTCATTCTCCTACTCTACTGCTCTGACCAAAGACTCTGGGCACATACCCACAGATGCCTCGGACGGAGTTCCCCTGGGCATCCACAAGACCGACCCCCCACCCCGCTCTCGCCAAGTACCCCAGATTCGGCGTCAGGCAGGACCCGTCCGAGTACAACTTATCACTGGGCGAAAACGCAAAGGGGTCCGTTTGTCGGCCTCCTTGGACGAACTTCACGTCCCACTCCTCAGCAGGTGGATCAGCTGGGAGACGGGCAAGCCAGCACCTCGTGAACAACAGACTGGACTCTCCAGCCTCAAGCGCCTGCAAAATCGTGGCCTCCGAAAAGACCTCTTCTCTTTTCGTTTTGTCGTGCACGTACTGCCAGGCTCTATGGAAACGGTATCTGGGACCCCGCAGCCAAACCTGCACTCGGGGGCCAAGGAGTAGCCCCAGGACCTGAGTTCCACAGCAGTCGGGGTGGCCCCTCCGAACACCTGTCTGGCAGCACAAACTTCCTTGGGCTCTAAGTCATGCTTGCTAGCTAACACTTTAGCCGCCAGCTCCCACCAAAGCCCATGCTCTTTAATAAGGTCACTACAGGGGCTGGGGTGGGTGTGACACTTAAGCTTAGCAACATTCAAGCTTAGCAACATTCTGAATCCTACTATTCTTATATTGTGTCTCAAATCGCTTACTGATGAAAGCAGGGGCCAACTTCAGCACATCAAGGGTTACACCCGCAAGGTCGAGGAAGGAGGTAGGTCCCAGGACAGTCCACCCCACCTCCCAGCACCAGAGGAGGACATCGCTGAGTGGCCCCTAGCTTTCTTTAAACCAGTTTTTGCTTGCAGCTTTCGGGTTAAAATTTCTTATTGCAGCCTGGAAAAGCCTGGTCAGTATTGGTGGCCCAAGAACATCATCATGTCGCCGTTGGAGGTCCGCTCGAGGGAAGCTGGACATCCACCATTCTGAACAATATCTGAAGATGCTCATGCTGGCCGCGTGGATAGGATCATTCACTCTTGACAACGACCACGCGAGCTCAGCGTTCAGGCCTTTCATAGACATTCCCATCGACTTAGAGACCTGAGCTCGTAGCCTGTGAACTTGAGCAGGCGAACACGCATGAGCATCTCCTCCATACAGCACAGTGGGTACCATATTAGTGATAGCCAATCTTGTCTAGTGTCCACGGTGCGTGAACTTCATGTTAGCCAACTTCTTTTTCTTGGTGAGCATCTTTCTCCATCCCATCGCGCGTGTCGTATGAGCCTTTGGATGTGCTCGATGCTTGCCACCTGTGTAGTCGATCCCAAGATTGCGAAGACCATATTCGCCAGGTCCCCCGAGCTTGCCCATCATGGTTCTAGCCAACTCAGTCATCCTGCCAGAAGAAGTGACCATGTTTAGTTTGTGAGTGGCTAACGAGAGTCCCAGCTCCTTCTGAAGACGGTGACCCACTCGATGCACATGCTCTTTCATCTCATACAATACCGTCAACATTGTGTCGCCCCACTGGTGCTGAGAAAGATCATCAACATGGAGAGATAACATACTGTTAGCATCACCTCTCAAGTCCATCTCATCATCCATCATGGGGAGGAGCGCCATCTTAGCCTCGAACGTCGCACTGGCAGATCCTGCGACGATGCCTCTCTGCGGATCCAGCGGGTCCATCAGCATGCCGTCATACTGAAGATATCTGGGCCATTGGTACGTATGCACCGCCATTCTCAAGACCGCTGTGGGGAAATTTGTCAGCTTACTGTTGGACTCCAGCAAGTCCCACGGCACATGCTCATAGAACTGGAGCAGGTCCCACAGCACAGCAATGTAGTACAGGCCCATGTTGTTCGGGCCCTCGGATATCGCCGCCTGTCGCCAAACCGTGTCACTTGGTCCTCTGCCTTGCGACATGCTATACTGGCCTCCGAGACCTTGGTAGCGCTCCCAACGACGAAGACGATGCCTCCACAATCTTCCCGAGATGCGGGCTGGTGCCGGGTAGAATCCCAGCGGTCGTCTGCCACCAAGAGGCTTGTGGTTCAACTGCACCACCAACTTCTGAGTAGAGGTTGGGGTTTGGCCGCACATCTCCATCAAAAGAAGCAACCTGCCAAATACTGCACGAGATTCTTCACCAAGTAGACTGTAATGGCGAGGATGCCACCCATCAGGTTGACCCCTCTCGCCCTCCTTCCTCCTTCCCTCCTCCCCTCCTTCCCTCCCGTCCCCCTCCCCCTCCCCCCTCCTCCTTCCTCCCCCTCCGCCCCCCCCCTCCTCCTCCTCCTCCTCCTCCTCCTCCTCCTCCTCCTCCTCCTCCTCCTCCTCCTCCTCCTCCTCCTCCTCCTCCTCCTCCTCCCTCCTCCCTCCTCGTCCATCTTGCATCGTCCCTCCGAAG